AGGCATTGGTCTTTAGTCAATGGAAGCATAAATAGGTAGGAGCTTTGCCTTGATGCCTAATTTTAGTGAGAAATAAAGCAAGGGATTCCCATATTTTTGATGAGTGTGGGTAAACTATAAACATATAATGTTACAGCTAGGAGTATGGGTGAAGTAGTTCTGATATTAAAGTGGTAAGGGTATATATACAGTCTGTAACAACTGGGGTGATAAGGTAAATTTGGCTTTCAATGAGGGGACAAAAATGACCATCCAAGTCTTAGCAGTTAGAAAGTGAGAAGGGCATAATTCTGTTAGGTGGGGGATAAATGAAATAAGAAAGGGGGAAGGAAGGGGAGAAAACGTGAAGAGTCTTTAGGGAAAAATGGAGTGAAAAGACTGGGAGATTAGAGGAGAAGAGGAGGAAGGTTGTGCTGAGTAGAACTTTTCTTCTGCTCTTTTCTGTTTTTTCTGTGGGACTGGAATGTGCTGGTGAATTGGGAGGGAGAGTACCCTGGATTATTCTTCTGCTATTGCTGGAATTGAGATCTAGATGCCGAGGGACTCACACGGGAGAACTATTGGGACCTTGAGGGTGTAGCTTAATTACCGAGAGGACTTCAGAGATAAGATCTCCTATTTTGTTAGTTTTATTTTGTAATGCTTGTGATGTTATCTGAACACAAGTAGTGGATTACATCTGAAATTGCTTGTTAGTAAATTAATTCCTCATGCTAAATTGAACTGTTGGGTTAATATGTTTAATTACTAGCAAAGAGATTATCTGTTCTTGAACTGGTGCTGCTAATTGAAGACTGAATTCATTTGGTACACATAAGAATAGCCTCCCTTGCTGTCTTATTTCTGTTACTTTTCTTGGCTTAGTTTATTAATAGAGGCTGTGATATAAAACAGTCAAACTGCTAATTAAATCCCTGAGAGTTGGACATAGACATGATTATCTGTTTGGTTGTCTAGCCCAGGCGCTAGGAATTTGGAGAGTATAATTTGGTTTTGATGTTCATGCCCAAAACTAAAGAAATTTGATCTATTAATATCTCAAATGGTTGCGACTTCTTATCTAAATGCTAATGCTACTTGAATATCCAGAGGCCAGGTTAGGAGTCCAGGAATTCTCTTTGAAAGTAAAATATTACTGCTACTAGTACAGGTGTACATGTATGAATGCTATCGTGGATGGGAGGATCTATGAGTCTTATTTATATTTCTTATTTTCTGAAGGTGCCAGGTGTGCCACTGATATTTGCTCTGCGAAATGCCTTACTCCTTGAGCCTCCATCAGCATTTCAACGTCAGTCTGCAAAATCTATGGAAGAAGAGCGTTTGCACATGTCTGAGTTTGAATGTGAAATGTTAAGAGTGAAGAAAAAGAGTAAGATGGAAACAGAGGAGGCAATGGATTCCACTGATGGGAATGAAAATGAAGGAGATCAAATTTTATGGGCCCAACCACTGGCAAAGATAAGCACTAAAAGAAAAAAAATGGAAGGGAAGGATAAGGTTCAATTCAAGAGAAAGAAAGCCAAGGTTTTAATACACAGCAATCTTTTCTATTAGCATTCTTTAGGGCCTTTATTCTTAATTATTGTTGAACAATCATGTTTTCTCTAGCCCTCAACTTTATCTTTCTTTTCTTTTCTTTTCTTTTCTTTTTTGCATTCCCATCTTAAAATTGTTCTGTTACTTTGGTGGTCCATAGTTTAATTCATTTCTTTGACCATCTTGTGACAATCTCCATGGTTTATGATTTACTATACCCAAGAAATTTAAAGGAAGGATTAGCAGCTGCAGAAATTTGATAATGATTTTTCTAGAGCAAACTAGTATAGTTTTTTGCTTTGTCTCATATTTGTTAATTAGGTTACTTGTGTACTAAACAAGGCACTTTGAAATCATGGCTTGCTTGATATGCCATGAAACTTGTATAGGTATTTCTGAATCACTCTGATCGAAGTTTTAGAAATATGTCTCGTCTTTAGTCACTGTGTCCAAGTGGCTGTATCCATTGCTTCCATTCTTCTTAACTGTTAATTTTTTGTAGGTTTCATTAAGACTGCTACAAACACAAAACTGTTGGAAGTATTTGGTTGAATTTAACTGGATAATATTTTGTTCCTTCTTGAAAGAAAGGAACATATGGCTACTGTTGTGTAAAATACTATTGAGCAAAAGGATTAACTAATTATAGTTATGAAAGTCAGATGTAAAATCTTAAACAGCAATTAGAAATTGCATGTGACAAATGATGGTGAAATGTGATCTAATGATTCAATTGCTGCTTACTTAGCATACACCTATGAGTGCATTGATTGGGAAACCTTTTTCATTTTTGTTTTTTGAAAAAGGCTATCAGTGTTTCTAACATGGCTACTATAATATTCATAATTCAACTTTTCTTGGACTTTGCAGGGTCCAAACCCACTGTCATGTAAGAAGAAACAGAATCATGGACAGGCAAATCTTCTTTCAGAAAAGGTGTGTTATCCTCTTTGTTTTTCTCAGTGCTTATATTGCTGTCTTCAAAATTTTAGTTACTGCTGTTGATAATTAAAAGCAATAATTTGATGCTTGGTGATTTTTAGAGGTTGACATGATGGTGGTGCATACAATTTTGTGGCTTGTTGAAGCCATAGGAACTTGACTTTGGTGGTACAATGCTCGTGCATTTAATTTGCATTTAGTATATGTTTAAGTTCTACGTATTATTTCAGCCCATCAAGAACTATACTAGAATTTGGAAGCAAGATTCTGCTGCATGGTTAGAGGGAAATGACAGGTACCCACCAAATGGGTTTAAGACTTTGTGAGTGGGAAATGCTGATCCATTTAGCTCCATTTGGAAAGTCTTAATAACAGGCTTCTTTTGCCCAGTGGTGAAGAAAATTATCTCTTGGCCATTTGAGTTTTTATTCCTTTGATCTGTATGGTTGCCAGTGTCTTCAGAATCTTTTCAGGCAAATAACAGAGAGGGGCGGTAGTTTACAATATAAATTACGAAACACTGCTTTTCTTTTGAGACTTGTCATGTCATTGATGTGTGTGTCCCCAAATCCAGGATAGAAAAGATGTTAATGATGAAACCACAAGAAGCAGGAGCAGGAAGCGAAAAGATCGCGTAAAGGCAAAGGAGTTGAAGGGACAAACAGTTGAAAGTTTATGGTACTAGCAATTTTCAATGAGCTGATATGTAAACTAAGGCATCAACGCAGTATCATGTACGTGGCAAAATGGCAAGGAAGGCGGTGATATAAAACTTCTCCCGAAAGCTGACTTTTTGTTTGCTTTCTTTTTGGCGGGTATTGCCAATTTTTGACAATTATGTAACTTAATGGAATTGAATGGATACAAACTAAATTTTGACATATGTTTATCTTTTAATACATTACAGAATGTACTAGCAAATTTAAGGATTTCTGATGAAGTGCTTGGAGTTTCGTCTCTTTGAAGATGTGCATATTTTGAGTGTTCAAGGAAATGAGCTGCTTCAGAGAGGATATGTGCAATTCATTTTTGGGATCTCTACAAGATGGGAAACAGGGCCTAAAAATTCTTGAATCCTCAAACGGGAATTAAATTCCGTCTCTCTCCGTTCAAAATGAAAAATTTTTGTTACTTCACTTCAGGGGCCCAGGGAACCAAAATTGTAAGGGTAGTGTCATCACTACTCTAATTTACCCAGGAAAGATAAACAATTTGTACAAATTTGTACCTCGGCAAAGGGCTGGGAAAGGTATTGATTGAGGACTAAAGACTTGTACGCTTTATTTTTACTTATGGAAAGTCCTAAAGGTATTAAGATATTAAAGTATAATCAAGCAATCACCTTAAAAATGACATGTAATTGTCAAAGTATTTTAATTTTTAATATACATTCAGTGTAAGAAATTACATAGAAGTCCAGATTGTTGGAACTTTTAAAACATAAATAGAACTTGTTTACACGGGTTATGCTTCTAAAGAATTGTTTAAAAATATTGATAGTTAAAAGTGCTCAAACAATATAAATTGTGGATTTTGCAAAGTTTACTAAAAAAAAATAGTAGAAATTGATAAATTAATATTTGGTAAAATAGTTAATAATTATTTATTACATTAAAATACATGAATTATCCATTCTTTTAAAAAGTGATAATTGTGGCCATAAAATAAAATTTTTTGAGTTATAAATGCAATTTTGATTCTTACTTGCAGCTTGCACAACAATGGGATACGTTAGAGTATGCACGGGATGGAGAGAAAAAGGCATTGAACAGATATATTCTCAGGTCAATATTTTTGTTGATTTAGATAATATTTTTATTGACTTACATAAGAGTAAAATAGAATTATAATAAAAATATTGAGATATATTTTTTAGCAAAAATTTTAATTATTTATAATTATGCTATTGGTTATAAGAAGTAGAAATTTAGTTACTTCTACTTTTAACTATTTTTAACAGAAATTTAGAGAAGTATAAAGTGAAAAATAATAATGTGAATAGAAAAAAGTGTTAAAAAATAACTAAAATCAAAAAATTGTTAAACAATAACTCGCATAGATAGGCACTTAATCAAATAAATATTTTAAAATTACATAAAAAGCTCAAAATTTGTAAAGACAAAACCTAATCTAACTTTAGAAATTTCATTCCCACCGCTAATCAACTTTGAAAATCTACATGGTACATCAACAGAGGCATGTGTCTAAACTCCACATAAATCCCAAATTATTTTCAAATTTACGCCCGACAAATGACTTGACTTGCCCCTCAACAGAATTAGAGAAAAGTGGGTAGTCTCTTATTGAAGGCCACACACAAAATAACAGCCTCTCCATCTCAGATGGAAACTCTCTCATCCTAAATTTGTAATGATGGATATTGAAACATATACATCTTCATTTGCAAATCCAATTAATAAAAAACTACTAGAAATTCGTGATCAAGTTCAAAACAAACAGAAGAGGTGAGAAGAGAGGATCATCGGGAGGGTGGAGAGAGACAAGGAAGAGAAGTCATAATGTCTTCGTCATCAAGTGGCTCAGAAGACGATGAAGGCTTCGACGCATACAGGTAGAGATGGCAATTCATGTTTATTAATCTTCCTTGGATGATGGTTAATGTTCATATTAGAGTATTTTAATAATGTTTCACTAAAACTAATAGATATTAACTCAGACTAAAAATGAGGCTAATCTTGTTAACATGTTTTTGTTTTGTCGTGCCATGTTCATGTCATACATCCAGGAAAGGTGGGTACCACGCGGTGAGGATCGGTGATTCATTTGCCGGCGGTCGATATATTGCCCAGAGGAAGCTGGGTTGGGGGCAGTTCTCCACGGTTTGGCTGACTTATGATACCCAAACCTCTGTGCGTTCCTCTAAATCTGTTTGTGACTGGAATTTATGGTTTCTAATCTATCTTCCCCATGTGATTCATAGCATTGCATTTAATCAATCCTTTGCTTGTTTTTATTTTATTTCTTAAACACCCGTACATTAATGAGGCAACAGACGTTTTTCTAGTTGATGATTTTGTAATCATAATAGGTACTTCTGATGTTAATCTTGCAGAAATATGTTGCCCTTAAAATCCAAAAAAGTGCACCACAATTTGCTCAAGCTGCTCTCCATGAAATCGAACTTCTTTCTGCCATTTCTGATGGTGACCCTTCCAATGAGAAGTGTGTTGTGAGATTAGTTGATCACTTCAAGCACACGGGACCCAACGGACAACACTTGTGCATGGTCCTTGAGTTTCTGGTGACAGCCTACTCAAGCTGATCAAGTACAATCGCTACAATGGCCTCGAGCTAAACCAAGTGAAGGAAATGTGCAAGTGCATATTAATTGGCTTGACTACTTGCATAGAGAACTTGGCATCATTCATACAGATCTTAAACTCGAAAACATTCTTTTGATCTCCACTATTGACCCTGCCAAGGACCCTGTTAGATCCGGCCTCGCCCCAATTCTTGAGAGGCCTGAAGGAAGCCTGAACGGTGGGGCCACCACCATGAGTTTGATTGAAAAGAAGTTAAAAAGGCGAGCGAGAAGAGCTGTGCTTCGGATATCAGGAAGAAGGTCGTCGACAGAAGGGGAGGAAGAGAGCACGAAGCTACGAAAAAATTTACAGGGGCTGGATATAAGGTGCAAGGTTGTGGACTTCGGAAATGCATGCTGGGCTGATAAGCAGTTCGCTGAGGAGATCCAGACAAGGCAATATAGAGCTCCAGAAGTTATATTAAGATCGGGATACTCATTCTCTGTTGATATGTGGTCGTTTGCTTGCACTGCCTTCGAGCTTGCCACGGGGGAGATGATGTTCACCCCTCAGGGTGGCCAAGGATTCAGTGAGGATGAGGTACTTCGGCTTAGCAGCTCTGTTCTAATTTAGCACACTTATCCCCTCAGTGGTGTCTCATCCGCTCGGTTTCTGGGCTTGTATGCTTAGTTTTCAAATTCAAAAGGTTCAAAATAATAATTCAAAATATTGTAGTTTCTAAGTTTTGGCATCAATAAACCAAAATTTAGAAATTGCAATGTGTGGGCTTCTGGACTTTATGGGTTTAAACATTGGATGCATAAGCCTGTAAAACTAGCCAAACAAACACTACTGTGAAAATCATAATGAGAAATGTGAGAGGAAGGTCCTCATCTATCCTTAAACTCCATTATTCCAAGGTAGTTTACATTGGCAAAATCATGATATGGAGTCAAAAATTAATTTTGACAAACAGGTTTTAGTGTATTTTTTCAAAGTTGAAAAGTTAATGACTTATTTATAAATATTTTATGTAACATTTTTAATTTATATTTAAAATTAAAAATTGATCTAATAAAAAATAATATAAATATTGACTACTAAATTAGCGTTAATACCTATTGAATCAATATCATATACTAATATTAATTTTAGTAAGAACATGATATCTAAAAAATCCACTTTGGATTTGAAGCATGAAAATTTCTCTACCAACCATAATTTTCAATTGGTAGCCTCACGGTGCTCATGTGATGCAAGCATCCAAAGTTGACGTGAACTGGGGTAACAGCTTTGTGTTGGATATTACTCCCCAGTAAAAGATTGTGTTAGAATTAATAAAATTATTATATTTTAAAGGAGCTATTGATGGGTTTCTCTGTAGGATCATCTAGCACAAATGATGGAACTCCTTGGGAAGATGCCACGGAAGGTGAGTCACCACACACAAAACCCTCTTTTCATTCTTCTAAGAAACTAGACTTCTGACATTAGCTGCTTTTCTTCTCTGTTCTTTTGGGTTGTGAAACAGATAGCTGTAGGAGGGTCTCGATCCAAAGATTACTTCGACAGATATGGGGATTTGAAGAGGATTCGAAGGCTAAAATTCTGGCCACTTGATCAAGTACTAGTTGACAAATTCAAATTTTCTGAAAGTGATGCCCGGGAGTTTGCAGAGTTTCTTAACCCCCTTCTTGATTTCACCCCAGAGAACAGACCAACTGCTCAACAGTGTCTACAACATCCATGGCTTAATGTCAATACTGACAAGGAAGCAAGTACACAATAAGCAACCGTCGTATTAACTTGGCATCTGAAGAAAGGATGAAAAGAGTTATCGAATATGCAGCTCCTCCTTTTGTGCCCCATCTTGCACGAGCGAGTATCGCGTCTGATTTTTGTTCCTTTTTTCCTTTCGGGGTTTGATGAATTTTGTAATAATAAGAAAACTTTGATGTATCATGTATATGTTGGAAAGGTAGCTTGTGCATATATAATCAATAGGGTGATAACCCATTATTTATTTACCCTTTTTGGGTAAAATACACTTTAATCCTATGTGATTTGCCTCTAACCCATGATTCAAAAACTAACATGTTTCCCTTCCGTACTTGGGACTAGGATGTTCTCTAAACTAAACTAAATTATAATTTGACTTGATTCAGTTTAAATCAGATTTTTTTTTTTTTCGTGATTTGGTTTACAGGTTGACCACTAATCAAAACTAGATTATAAACTATATTTGAATTTACAATTTAATCCTTCAACATTTTTTTCCTTTTATTTTAGTCCCTTCATTTTCTTTTTTCTATCATGTAAGTTCTCAATCTCTTTTACTTTTCTTTTTATTATTTTTTTATGAGCTTACAAACCTTCGATTCTTTTGAATAGCCTTCTCATTTGAGTAAATACATACCAGATCAATGTTTAATTTATTAAATTTTTTTAATAGTCATTTTTTTTCAATTATCAAATTTAATTTATTCTATTACAAGTTGATAATTATGCAAAGTAGAGAATTTCATAAAAAGTTTTGTAAATTTAATTTACAAACAGTAATTTTAAATTGAACTAAATAATAAATTGTAATTTAATTTAATTTGATTACTAAGAATTTATAGTTTAATTTAATTTGTAAAAATTACAATTTGAAATTGAGTCTTAAACTAAATTAAAGTGACGTGCCACCACCCTGCTTGGGACCAAAGTGCAACAATCAACACTGCTAAAGCACAAGGGAGAAATGAATAAAATAGGACGCGATAAAAGCCCAACGTCCGGTTTGGGTTTTAAGAATTTCGTACTCCTCTCAGGTTGTGAAATTGTGAAATATTTTATTCTTTAGAAATTTCAGTGCTGGGTTATTCCAGGTTTTCAAAAATTCTTCCCAGTTTCTAGAACTTTTTTATACTTGGAATTGTATTCTATTTTCAAAAATTCCTCTGCCCTTTTTCTTTGTTCCTCGCTCCGTTTATTCTGGATGGAGTAAGGGTAAAGTGGCAAGAAATTATTAGAGAGAAGATGGGCAACCTTTCCCACTCTGTTTGTTTCATGTCCGTCATTTTGGACTGATAATCTAATATATATTTGCACTTCAGTCCAAACTTTTGGTATTAAAATGTTACGGGGTGTTTTTTTTTTGTTTTAAAAGTAAAAAATTCTATTTTTTTAGTAATATTTTTAAAATTTTATTTTTTTACATATGTTTTAAAACAAGTTTTAAAAGTAAAACTGGAACATTTGTTTCAAAATTTGGGCACAGCCTTTTGGCCGTACTCAATTTCAAAGAAAATGTTTTAAAAATAATTTTAGAAACAAAGTTTAAGATTAATCATTATACTTTTAGAAATAAATATAATATATCTCAAAAGTACACTTTTAAAAGAACATAATTCTATAATTTTATCTTCTAAAATACTACTCTTAAGCATAGTAAAAAAATAATGTTACATTTTATAAAATTATTTTTAAAATATTATATTTTAAAAATATATTTTAACTTTCAAAATATCTAAATTTGAGATTAAAAAAGAACACCCTTAAATTTTAAACCACAAGAGTCTGTGTGAAAGCGGGTGTGTATTTGTAGACATGGACTAATTGCTTGCAATCCAAGAGGACTCTACGTTGCAGTGCCATACATCCAGACAACTTGGCCCGTTTGGTTTGGCTAATAAGGATAAAATTATCAGTTTTATCACACGTTCGTTACACGTGTTACAGGCCCGAATAAAAATCTGGGCAGAGACTTATCAATACAGGGGTGATAAACTTATCACCCCTTTGAAGGGAGATAAGGTTCATCTCCCCTCAACAGTTTTTTTTTTTTTTTTTTTTGTTAACAGTCTTGCCCTTCTCTTTGAAGCCTCCGCCGTCACCCCTCGCGCCGTCGGCCCACCATTGTCGCCCCTCCCGCAGGCAAGCAGATGTGACAGAGCGACGGTGCTCATACGCAAGCAAGCAAGTACTTGCAGAGCCGGAGCTCACACAGGTTCTGAGTAGGCGCCCACAGATCAGGGCCCTGCATGTGCAGGCGAGCAAGTGCCTGCAAAGCCAGAGCTCACGCAAAAGCTCGATCTGCGGGCGCCTGTGTGAGAGCACACAGGTTCCGACCCCTGCGTGTGCAAGCGAACAGGTGCCCGCAGAGCTGGAGCTCCCGCAAGAGCTCGATCTGTGGGCGCCTGTGTGAGAGCACGCAGGTTCCGACCCCTGCATGTGCAAGTAAGCAGGTGCCTGCAGAGCTGGAGCTCCCGCAAGAGCTCGATCTGCGGGCGTTTGTGTGAGAGCATGCAGGTTCCGACCCCTATGTGTGCAAGCGAGCAAGTGCCCATAGAGCCAGAGTTCACGCAGGTTCCAGTTAGGGGTGAGCGCGAGCAGGTTCGAGCGGTTAGTGTTCAAAAATTAATCCAACCCGATGTGGGCGGATGGTAAAAAAATAAAACTGAACCTATCTTATTTTTGTTCCAAACCATACGGTTCGGCTTGGTTAAATGCGAACGGGTTGTAAGTTGGCACATAAGAAATAAAATTTAATAAATATATAATTTAGAAAAAATCAATCTAATTAATATAATTTTGTAGTACTTGAATCCTAAAAATCAAGTAATACAAAAACATGATTTTTCCATTACAAAGTAAAATAAAATTAAAAGAAATAGAAAGTAAATTCCATGTGATCACTTCCAATTAATATCTTTAATTAAATAAAAAAATAAATTATTGTTGTTAAGTTCAAACAAAAAAAAAGCATTAACTAAACTCAACAAATTTATTTTATAAAGTAAAAAAAATAAAAAAACTTAATTATACATTCTTTAAATATATTTTTGTGTGATCACTTCCAATATAAAAAAATGTTTAAGATGCTCAGAATAAATATATTATTACTACAACATATTTCCAATAATAAATAAATATATTATTTATTATACTTAATTTTGCTTTATTATATTCATATTTTAATTAAAATGAGAAAATTGTATTATTTTGAAAATTTTTAGATTATGATTTTATTTCTTTTAATACTAAGTATTTTCTTTCAATGGAAAATTTTATTTCCTAACTCTAAACATTTTAATAAATGAGCTAATAGATAAGAAAAATTAGAATTGATAGAGAATAAATGACAGTAATAAATAAAATAAATAATATATATATGTATATATTAGCGGGTGGGTCGGATGGCGGTAAGTTTTTAAAATCTTAAACCGTCACCCGACTGCATAATAGGCGAATTGTAAAATTATAAACCGTTAGATAAAAAATATTATATTAAACCAGCGGGTTATAACAGATCGGGCGGGTTACAACGGGTTTGAGCAGGTTTATGCTCACTTCAAGTTCTGGTGCCTCTGTGAGTAGGCCAACAGGTGTCCTCAAATTGAGCGCTTGCGTGAGCAAGCGCCAGAGCTCACACAGGCGCTTCATCTGGAAGAAAGGCGCCCGATCCAGAGCTCTATACTAGTGCGCAAGACAACAGTGCGAGAGCTGGAGCTCTATGCTAGCGCGCGAGACGACGGTGCGGGAGCTGGAGGGTGCTTGTGTGAACTTCGGTGGAGCTCACACAGGCCTTGCAGTCGTTGGAGAGGAAAGGTCGTCGGATTTGCGGGCGCCAGTTACACTAGCTGAAAGGAAAGGTATCAGGGGTAAATTGGTAAATTGGTTCCTTATGTTATCTAGATTGCTAAAAATTGAACCGAATATGTGATAAAAACATGATTACTATTAGGGTAAGATAAATTTTATTTTACCTACCCTATCAACTTTTATCCTATCTCCCAGTGGTGGAGTACGAATTTGATAAAGTTTAATTAAGATAAGCGTAAAAAGATTATTTTTTTTTATCTATTATCTGTTGTAAATTGAATTTTCAGGGAGGATAACATTTAATTAGGATAAGAGGAAATTAGGTAGAATTTCTTCAAAGTTATCTATTTTTTAATCTTTTAAATATGTAAAGATCAGATTTTAATTATTTTGAATAAAATTTATATAGTTTCTTGAAATTTTTTAATTTTCATGCGGAGTTGCTGCACTAGTACATGTTTTAGGGACAAATAACAAGAGTAAAAGTGTGTTTATCCCTACTCTTTTTTTTTTTTTATGTAGTCAAAACTAGAGTTATAAACAGGTTATAGTTAAGTCTGATAAGACAAATCCGAATCTAATTACTAATTTTTATATCTGAATCGAATTCAAATTTTTATAAGATTTGTATCAGTTAAATTTTATTTAAATTTGACGAATCATCATAGATCTAATAAGAAAATTGAATAATAAGAAATTATATTCTTTTTCACCTACATTTCTCAACCTTATTTATTAATCATATTAGTCTCTAAATTTTTTTAATTTTTTCAATTTAATCTATACAAATTTAAATTTATTGATATTATATAATGACATTATTAATTTAATTTTACAAATATCATTTAATTTGAAATTTAGATTTTTGATAAATCAAATTACGTAATTCCATATTTAATATATTTATTTCAGATTATAAATATTTATATTAAATCTAATATATTAAATATTTTAATCAAATTTAAATTTAAAATTCAAACACAACGTAATTCCATATTTAATATATTTATTTTAAATTATAAATATTTATATTAAATATAATATATCAAATATTTTAATCAAATTTAAATTTAAAATTTGAATCTAATTCAAATTGAATTCTGAAATAAAATTATACTCATAGACAACCGTAATCAAATAAAACCTATGGATAGCAATCAAGGCCATTGTCATCCCTGCATTTTTTCTTACTTGCCTACAAAT